GGGTGGGGAGGCCTTGGCGGGGCCCCCTGCGGCCGTTGGGGCGGTTGGCGCTCGGCTCCTGGCGGCCCTGGCAGGGATAAGGGGGCTGCCCAAAGTGCCCCAAATGCCCTGAAGTACAGTGCCCCTGGCCGCTGTTAGGAGTGCAGTGTGGCCAGCGGGACTAGGGCAGTGATCGTCCCCCTGGACTGGGCATCGGTGAGGCCCCAACTCGAGGGCTGTGTCCGGTTTTAGGCCTCTCACTACCTCGAGGGCTGTGTCCGGTTTTGGGCCCCTCGCTATGAAAAAGACACGGAGAGGCTGAGGGAGCTGGGGTTGGTCATCCTGGAGAGAAGGAGGCTGAGGGGAGACCTTCTCGCTCACTGCAGCTACTTGAGGGTGTAGCAAGAGGGTGCATCAGTCTCTTCTCCCGAGTCACAGGCGATAGGGTGAGAGGAAATGGCCTCAAGTTGCACCAGGGGAGGTTTAGATTGGAAATGAGGAAAAATCTCTTCACCCAGAGGGTTATTAAGCATTGGAAAAGGCTTCCCAGGGAAGTGGTTGAGCCTCCACCCATGGAGGTATTTAAAAGATGTGTACACGTGGCACTGAGGGACGTGGTTTGGTCCTGGTTCTGTCAGTGTTAGGTTAATGGGCTTGATGATCTTAAAGGTCCCTTCCAACCTAGATGATGCTATGGTCCAAGGCCCTGGAGAGGGTCTTGGGCCCTCTGGTTATGACAGACACATGAGCTGTTCCCTGGATATCGCTTGAGCCTTTCGTGTTGTAAAAATACATATTTATTCATAGAAAAAGTGACATGAAATTGCCACCTGCAACAAGACTCTTACACCCTTAGGTTTAAGGAATTAGTGGGGCTTGGTGGTTTGTGTCTCCAAACTTCATCTGCTGACATCATGGGGATGCTCCACTCCCTCTTCCCCATGCCACTGTGAGGCGGTGCCCTACGTGCCATCCCTTCACAAGTTTTTTCTTCTTCCCAGGCTCCACCTAGTCAACAGCTTCATTTTGGAGCCTGCAGTTGCTGGGGAGAGGACGAACAACAGCAAATAGGTTGGAGGAGGACTGAAGTTAGCAGGGGATGACACTGCAGAGGAGGAGCACTTCCCAGGCTGAGGGAGGGAAGAAAGGAAACATGACTGAGGTGCTCGGACTTGTGGGTTGTGCTGAGGAAGTGTGAAGCTTGGGGACAGTAAATGCCACACGATCATGTTTGGGTTGCATGAGGTGTGGTGCTTGGACTGCTGGGGTGTTGAGGCTGCCAGCAGCCTTGTGTATGGGAACAAGGATAGGGTTGCTTCCTTGGCTTATGCAAAACTCTCCCCTTACACATTCAAAGATTACATGATCTCTTCATGGACAGCATTGTTTGAGAGTTTATGCTGGCGTGGTTATCCACTGTTACTGTTAGGTCCTCACCAGAATCCAGGCCTCTGATCCATAAGTACATTTTATGCCATTATTTCTCCAAACCAATATCACCTTAAGTATATATCTATATTAAAATACTTCTGGGCTGGTATCTTTTAATAAAGCAATTTAAATTACTCTTCTGGTAACCTGTCTTCATTATCTCCTAGCAAAACAGCTTTTTGTTGGCAGCAAGCTTTACCACAGATTTTGTGTAATTGTCTCAACTATAAAACTATTAAACAGTTGTGGCCCATGAGCAGAGACCTTTGGGATCATTGATACCACAGCAACCCTTAGAGACTGCTCTGTAAATCAGTTTGTAAATCCGGCTCATTCTCTCTCAGGGCTGCATCATCTGGTACCAAGTCAAGCACCTTAAGGGACTCCACATATATTCTGTGAGCACAGTTACTTTATGAGCAGAACTTAAAGTCCTCCAAAAGTCAAGCAAAACAATAAAAAGGTGTTTGACAGTAAGGATTTTCTGTGACACTGTCACTTTCAGGGGCACTGCAGACAATTCAGTGGTTAGTAGGTGTGATAGTGACCTTAACCTCTGCAGAGAAGTTTATTTCAACTTAGATTATTTATAGCTGGATCGAGCAATGTAGCTTCCTTATTCTTCTTTAACTGTCCTGACTCCAAATGTTGGTGTCATGATAAACCTTCAGATATATTCATCGTATAGTAGCAATAGGGGGAGTTTGGTCATTTCTGTCCTACAGCTACTGGGATCAGGGGGCTGGAAGGGGGACAGAGAGTGAAGTGAGGCTGTGGCAAAGGCTCTGCCAGGGGACACAGCCAGAAAGTGCGGAGAAGGACCTGGACCAGAAAGAGCCCCAGGCTCCTGGGAGCTGTGGAGTCAAACTGCAGCTGTTCCTGGTGGTTATGTCATGTTTAGGGGCCTCCTACATCATGTAATGGAGCAGCTCTGGGAGTCCCCCAAGCAGTCTGTGGGCCGCCTGCATCCTGCCTCTCCGCTCCTTCCTATTCCTCCTCCTCCTCCTCCCTTCCTCTTCCCCCAGCCCCTTTTATGGCCTGTCTGTCGCCCACATTCTCTACCCCAGCTTTCTGTCCCCTGCTGACACCATTACTTTGCTGCCAGCAGCTCTAGCAATTAGTTCTCCCTACAGGATCCACTCTGCCTACGTGTGTGGATGGGGGTGTGGATGGGAGGAACGTGAGAAAAAAGCTTGAGAACTGCTGAATCGTTTGCTATTTTTGCAAATAGTAAAGGCAATTGAGACGAACAAAGGGAGTCACTGGTTAATACTCACCACAGCCTGTGCTTGAATAGCAAGGGCTGTGATCCTGCTTTTTCACACACTCCTGTGCTGCAAGCACCCTTCTCATGTCTTGGGAACTGAGGAGCAGCAAGGCTTGGACCAGAAGCCTCTCATTAAATATCAGCTCAGTAATGGGCTTCCATGACCTTCTCGGTTATCAGATCCCAAGCTTGCACTGGCCAGATGTGAGAGACCACACCCGAGCAGAGGCCCCTGGATGATTATACACAAACAGCATTAATTGATAATGATGCCACGGAAATGAAACCTTTCCACTGTGTCACAAGAGCAAGAGAAATTCCTCTGCATATGAAATTAGACCTGTTACAGATTTTTTTCTGAGCAGCTGTAGTTTGCGCCCGTGCTGTCTTTTCCACACACACGGAGAGGGAAGGGAAAAGCAGCGTTTCCACAGCAGTATTTTCCAGATCTCAGTATCTGCCTGGGCACTTCCCTCCTCTGACTTGGAGCACGTTCTTAACTCATGTGACGAGAGGAAATGAGGAGCACTCCCTCCAAAGGAAAAGAAGCCTGGCCAAGGCTCCCATGTCACTCAGATAATTCAGCACACATCCCTCTGACAACCAGTTCCTGAGAAAAAGGCCACCAGGAGCCTTGTTTTGACGGCCTTTGGGGTCTCCAGCATGGACAACCTTGTGGTTAGTTTCTCATGGCTGTAAATCGCTGCATTGCTGGTTTTAGATTTGGAAAAACTGTTAGAATCTGACTTTGAAACCTTTTTTTCACTTGTCACCCGGGAGAACAAAAGATCCCTCAGGAGGAAGAATACATGAAGATGGGCAGGTGCATGGTGGGAAGTTCACATTTGTAGCAAACATTTAACTTCACACCTGGAAAACTGGACTGGTTTTTAAGCAGCTTTGTTTAGTCTCCTGCAGAAGGTTGTTGCCTGCCAGAACTTCTGCAAAGAGTTGTTCAGCAGGTCCACACATGTTCGTGTTAGGCGGTATTTGTCTAAACCTTTGAAATTGTCATTTGTCATTACAATGTATGGTGTGTGCAAACATTGCATGCACAGAAGAATAAGTATGTCTCTTTCATAATATGTCCCTTTCAGAATTAATTTCAAAATTCTTCAGCTGGTTCTACTGAAAGAACCAACGTTGTCACTTTAATTATTTATGAAAGATATCTCCGAGTATATCAGGCCTCATCAGTGGTGAGGCAACACATTTAGCCCTTTGGATTAGACTTATGGTGTTTGGAAACTCAGTCACTGGCTTTGCACACATCTTCAGCAACTGTCATAGAATCACAGAATAGTTTGGGTGGGAAGGGGCCTTTAGAGGCCATCTAGTCCACCCTCCCTGACATGAGCAGGGATATCTTCAACCAAATCAGGTTACTCAGAGCCCCGTCCAACCTGACCTTGAATGTTCCAGGGATGGGACATCTACCACCTCTCTGGGCAACCTGAGCCAGTGTTTCACCACCCTGAATGTAAAAAATGTCTTTCTTACATCTAGTCTAAATCTTCCTTCTTTCACTTTAAAGCCATTACTCCTTGTTCTATCGCAACAGACTCTAAGGCCATCTAGTCCACCCTCCCTGACATGAGCAGGGATATCTTCAACCAAATCAGGTTACTCAGAGCCCCGTCCAACCTGACCTTGAATGTTCCAGGGATGGGACATCTACCACCTCTCTGGGCAACCTGAGCCAGTGTTTCACCACCCTGAATGTAAAAAATGTCTTTCTTACATCTAGTCTAAATCTTCCTTCTTTCACTTTAAAGCCATTACTCCTTGTTCTATCGCAACAGGCTCTACTAAAAACTTTGTCCCCATCTTTCCTGTAGGCCCCCTTTAAGTACTGAAAGACCATTATGAGGTCTCCCCAGAGCCTTCTCTTCTCCAAGCTGAACTACCCCAACTCTCTCAGTCTGTCCTTATAGGAGAGCTGCTCCAGCCCTCTGGTCATTTTCATGGCCCTCCTCTTGACCCGCTCCAACAGGTCCACGTCTTTCATGTGTTGAGAGCTCCAGAGCTGCTGAGGGCTCCTGAGTTTCTGTCCTCTGGAAACTGTGAACAGCAGTGAGCCTTATAAAGACATCTCTGGGTAAATACACTTAAAAGTCTTCATAAAT